CATATAGCTGGAATATTGCTTAGTGCGGCGTAAAACTAAACTCACTCACTCACTTTTCTTTCTTTCTTTTATTGCAGATATCAACATGTACCAGTTGGCTTCTTGGCAGATATGATAGTGGCATATGCACGGCAACTACTTTTCGCAACCGACCGACAATTAACCGAACTTTGCCGGACTAAACAATGGTTCCACGATGGCACGTTCAAAGCTGTGAAACGGCCATTCTATCAGCTTTTGTATATTCCGTCTAGACTTTGCTCGTTCCGGTAATGAGAATGGTCTCATGTCTCGACGCAAGAAAGTGGACAATGTCGCCTGCTTCAAGAAGCTACTTGAAATCCTGCCGAGGCGCTGCAATGTCTAGTCTATCACCCTTGCCTTCAGGACAGCAACCTAGACTGCTCTCCGCACTGTACTCCCTGATGTGAGACTACGCGGATGTCTATTTCATCTGACCCAAGCAATTTGGAGAAAGGTGCAAGAAATTGGCTTGTCTGTAACTGTCGTTTACTCCCATAACGCAGATACAAATTGCAAACATACAACGATGTCATTTACCAACAGGAGGACGACTTAGTGCCGCATCTGCCACCCATCCCGAGTGTGAGCAGCGCCATGTATCGTCACAGACGACAGAACATCCCTCCATTGCCAATTGCAAGCTCAAGAGCTGAGGTGGACTTTACAGATCAGTGGACAGCAACACAAGATGGAAGAAGATTCCTGCTGTTTGCTGACGGAGAAGACGATACTGGCTTTCTGCTCCGACGAGGCCCTCGAAGCATTGCAGTCTGCAGAGAAGATCTTTATGGACGGAACATTCTCTTCCTGTCCTCCTCTGTGTGTATATATCATTCACGCAATGTCAGGTTCCACCATGTACCCACTGGTCTACACTCTCTTCCAGATCGCCCAGAGCAACCTACACCAGACTCTTCAACCTCCTCAAGACCAAGTTCAACAGACACCTTAAGTCCATCTGTTATCCAGACAGACTTTGAACTTGCTGCCATTCAAGCTGCTGAGAATGCGTTTCCACAAGCTGAAGTAAAAGGGTGTCTGTTCCATTTCTGTCAGACAGTATGGCGCAGAACTCAAGAACTAGGACTTGCAGTTGCGTACACAGATGCAGAGGTTCGAAAGTGGATACGACGAGCTGCAGGTCTGACATTGCTGCCCCTTCTCGAGGTCCAAGATGCCTGGCTCGAAGTCATGAATCAGTGCCCTGACGTGCGTGTTTATGATATTTTTTTAATTATACATAACTTACAAAAGAAAATTTAGAAAATATCACCCACTTATATCACTCTGAGAAAGTATTGAAATAGTATTATTTGATAGATAGGGTTCTTATTATTCTAGATATCTCTTTAGTACATGTATCATATCATACTTATTATCAATACAAACAAACTATGTAAACAAATATTGTTAGATACCCAGTGATTAGGGATAGCACTGCAGCAACTTCATTTACGACATACACTATCACCTGCAGTAGTACTGTCATACCTAGCATCGTATTTATTACTCTCTTACATAAGGTGAAATATCACAGGGTTGTCATGGTAACGATAATTTGGCATACCATTTATTGTCTTATTCTTTTATCTGCGATCAGAATTTAAATCAGTTTTGACGTGAGCATGTTAAGAGAAAAAAGCTGTAAAACTAATATTAATGTGATCGAACCTATAGGGCTTTGTAAAAGTGAGTTTCAAGCCACCTACATAAAAAACCTTCTTGATAAATATCTGCTAATCCGTGGCACGATTCCAACCATATCATGAGCATGTGTTTGTGAATCATAATGGAATAGTGATGTTACAAGGCGTCCATGCCGCGTCAACATCACATGCAAACGCACGCGAATTGAAATACGGGCCCCTAAACCACGGATGCTCCGTGCCCTCGAGACACATGTGATTGAGCGTATGTAGGGACGGGTAGAAGACAAAAGACAAAATGGATATATACTCGTGCTGTTATACTTTTGAATTATAAGTAAACATTCGTTCTTATAAATGTATACTTTCCAGTACAAATGTACATTCGAAGGATATCTTAATCTAGGTTAAGTTATTTGAATCATATTTACAATTAAAAGACCCAAACAATGGTCTGTTGTCAAAATATTTTGTTTTCCTTATCTTGTCCCAATCTGTACCCAGAGACCATATAATAGTCTATTATATGGTCTCTGATGTATCATAGTCACAGAACGATATTATTTCCCCTTCCGCCCAGCCCTTACTGTAATGCTTTCGCCCTAAATGAAGTAGATCTAGATATTCCCAGGTTCAGCGTTTGTTATAATCTGCAGGAAAACTCACTGCAGGGTTCGTGTTACAGAGTAAACAAACGAAACACCCATGGTTGGCGGGGACTAACATCTTCAGTAACATTTACATCTGCCAACACTTAATTCGCAAGTGGTGAGGCAATACGCAAATGAGGCTAAGGGTCCTGTACCATGTTTGTGAAATATCTATGATGCCTTATATGAAGTCTATAATCTAAGCAAGTCTATCTATGTATGGCTTTAAGTCACTGCTTGAAGAAAGGCTCCTTTAGAATTTTATTTGGTAAATATTAGCATTTCACTGACTTAATCATATTGGAAAACACATGGCAACCTACACTTCATTGTGACTATGATTAAGATCATTGTTAAACACAAGGGTTATTTCCTTTGAGTTAATTGACAGGCTTTCGGTATCAAATATTTGGAACTCCGGCCCAAGGTGATGTTATGCTGTCTGGAAATATAGCGTTTTTGCACTTAATGATAAGTGATTGTTAAATGTACATATGATGTTTTTGAAGGATAATCTCATTTGACTCAGAGACTTTGCACGTGTTTTCACACACTCTTTCCACACCCATCCTTCAGTTTTTATGTTTGTGACATGATCTGCACACGGTTAATTAAAAACATGTATATTACTGTTTGCAATCTTTACCCAGTTTAGTTTTCCATTTATTTAGCAATTTTCAGTTTCCATTATTTTCTGGAAATTTTGTACGGAGTTGCATTTAACAGTTTCACCCAATAACAGTAAAACATACAGATAATACGTTTCGGTGGTTTGATAGGTTAATAACTTCACATTATATTCCATGATATTGGGATGCCAAAATGATTAACATTATTATATAATGTATAACAAATCAGACAACAAAAAGCAAAAATTAAAAACGCATGAGCAATATAAATGATGTCAGGTAGTAAGCTTTCAATAATTACAGAAACTGCTTAGTTATCTTACATTATGAACTAATTGCAGTCACTAGAGTTTTCTATAATCTACCCCCGAGATGGATTCAAAATAGGTGTACAGTTTGTTTGTATCTGTTTCATGAACAAAGGAGTTGGTGTAGAAATGAAAGAGTGTGAACATGTTTCAAACTCTTGTGAACTGTACAATACTTGTCTTCAAGTAATTGAAATATGTTTTAGTTGTTTGACACATAACACCATTTATTCACAACTATGAATGATGTCTTAGCTTTGTTAAGAAAGAGAACAAAGATAAGATACAATTTAGACAGCAGACTTAAGAATTTTTTCAGTGATTCTGATATAAATTACATTGAATTGTTTGTGAAAGAATTGGTGTAGAAACACAACTTCCCAAAGGAAATTTCAGTTTCAAATTCATTTTCAGGCGTGTTGAACATGTTTGACTGAACCTTCTTCAACATGAAATGCTGAAATTTCATTAGCTCAACAGCGTTTTAAGTGTGTGTCTGTGGTGTGAATGTAACATAGGTTTTAATGAATTTATAACTATTTCAAGTCACGATATGGCTGAAATATTTCCACTATGACTATAAACTTTTACTCACTCACTCACTCATGGTATATCGTCTCGCCTCATTAAACTGGTATCAGTATATATCGTCTCCTCACTTAGACTACGAAACATAGCTCTAATACCAAGTATGTGCATATTAACACATTTACAACTGTTACAGATATTACATCGGAAATAAGTACTACATTGTAATCATCCTTTTTGAAAGTATAGATAGCTATGATCATGAGTATGATAACTCATACAAGTGTGCACTAAAATTAGGGACCTACCGGTTCATGTCTGTGTGAACACACCCGTCTGTGTTTTATTGCAATAAGCAGTCTTTCCTTGTATGTCATATATAAGAAGTGTACCTAAAGTCAGTTATTTAAACTATAATGTAATTTCCATTGCAAAAAGTATAAACGGTATTACCTACTGATCAGAAAGACTTATCAGTACCCCACCGCCACCACCCCACCCTATGCCTACCCTATCCCACACCCTCTCCCTCACACACACACACGTGCACACACTCCCTAACATACATATCGCTCTGGCCCGTAGACCAATATTTGAACCTTTTAAACAGACATCATGGGTGTGTCAAGAAAGGCAGGCACGTTAATAGTGGTGCTCGGTCATGGGTACCACTTCGCCATGTGTTTCTAATGATCTCCGTGCATTATGGCGTAGTCCGACGCGCTAACGAACCCGATGTGACAGTTACATTACAGAACCATTGAAATACATGTTAAATTAGTGTTAATTTTGTAACAATATATTTACCAATTACCAACCATTTACGCGTGTACTAAATATATGACAAACCTAACCCTGGTCATACGAGATTTCAAAGGTATTAAAATGCATGTCCTACAATCACAGCATTTACAAATGTTACACATGCTAGAAAACACATGAAAACAATGGCCAGATTTACACACCTGTGAAATACATGTAAATACAGAGTTGAGTGTTCGTTTATTTTAACACCCCTTTAAACATGTGTAAATCTGACAGGCAGATGATACGTAGATTTCAAACGTTTGTTCATATGGACGCCGGATGAAACGTATATTTCCTAACGTTAGTAGATTTGGGTAATATAGTCATTTTGTGTGGTGAATGTACTGTCTGATCCAAACAGTGCCGTTCAAATGGCCAAATCTCTAAATTATCACAATCGGATATGTCTGTATTACCATACCCCAAAAGGCATGCCTTTAATAATCTTGTTACAACATCCCTTAAGACGGGCAAATCGTATTTCCAATCATGTATCATATTTGGACAGATCTTTTTGAATTGGCTGTCTGACCTTGTTTCCAAGGAAACCAACCGTTTTCATGTTGCTGTTGCCATCGCCATCGTCAATGCATTCAACACAAATATATATTCAAGAAAAATATCTTCAATTTCTACTCATTCCTTTAAGCGAGTTGGGCAACACAGGTATACATGTATTCGTACCAGACATGTAAAGACGAATAAAGCATGTATTACATAAATGTTCATTGAAGTGGCAAACAAATATCGTTTAGCACAAGTTCTTAATGCGTTCTGTATCAAAACACATTTCTGAGTGTTTAGGATCCGCATATTGGTCATTGCATGTCTCAGATAACAGTACGACTAGAAGGAGCTGTTCTGTACAGTGTATGAAGGAATGAAAGCGTTACTCCGGCCCTTGTTCAAGCGAGTGTTGAATTCGTAAGGATAAGGAAGTTTGGGCGCCGATACTGCATCAAGGGCCGCCATCTGAAAAAAACGCGAGAATTTACGGTATCAGAGAGGAGAGAAACATGACTTTGTGCATGCCAACTTTCACAGTTAAACCCGGGTAGTCTTGTATCCCAGATATAGTTAGCACACTAACTGAAGCGTTTGCTCATCGCATTATAGGTCCGGGTTCGATTTTCCATATCAGTGCCATTTTTGGTGTTCCCTGCTGTATGTTTTGCCCCAAGCGTCATTAACCCACATTCACTAACTTCATTCACATCCGATAATCAAGACGATTCCTGATTACGATTACACAATGCCATTTAGAAAGTGGTCAAATGTAACAGATGTTATATTTGGGATTACACTTTCTTAGTAAAGTACAAATTCTAGTACTTTTTGGGTTGAGTCCCATCCGGGATTCGAACCCACACCCTCAGAGTCAGGCACCTAATCGCCAGCACACAAAGTCAGCCGCCTAACCCGCTCATCCACCGCGACTGTAGTCTAGACTGCGGACTTTGTGTAAATGCCATTGTGTAATCATAGCTTTCGACCGTGGGAGCCGTGCCAATTTACACTTATCAGAGGGGTACACAAAGTCCGCAGTCTAGACTACCACTTGTCCGACTTCCATTTTTGTGGAAGTCGCGGTGGCTGAGCGGGTTAGGCGGCTGACTTTGTGTGCTGGCGATTAGGTGCCTGACTCTGAGGGTGTGGGTTCGAATCCCGGATGGGACTCAACCCAAGAAGTACTAGAATTTGTACTTTACTAAGAAAGTGTAATGCCAAATATAACATCTGTTCAAGACGAGTCCTGTTCAGACAATTCAAAGGGGCATTGAGGATTAATTGTTGTTCCAAACTAAAGGAGAATTTATTACAGTTAATGCACACTGTTAATACCAATATCCTCCCAAGATTTGAAAAATAGTCATCGATCCATGCTAAAAGGTTGAGAGTCCAAAATAAACACATCGACTGAATACATCATATTGAAATTCGTGAGTCTGGTAAACAGACATTATTTTAGCAAACTTTGTAAAGAACACTTTGCTTTTGTCGCATAACGTCGGCACTGATAATGTAAATCGGTACAGCTACCTTTAAAGGAAAAATTTCAAAATTAAGTGAAACACGAAATGGAAGTGTTGGTTAATTGAGACTGAGACAAATAGTGTAGAAATGAATTATAGGTTTTCAGGAGTATTATACTTTCTAATGAGTCTCTGGAGTGAGTGAGTTTAGTTTTACGCCTCTTTTAGAAATATTCCAGCAGTATCACGGCGGGGAACACCAGAATTGGGCTTCTGACATTGTAGCCATGTGAGCAATCGAACCCGGGTCTTCGGCGTGATCGAAGGCTACCCCACCCGAGTCTCTAGATATAGACTTCATGAAGTACGTACGTCTTCGGGTGACAACTTCCATCCGTTAGCAGCGCCCATGTTGTCTTCCAGCTGGGTCATCTTGGTTGTCCCGATGAGGACAGATGACACGATGTCCTTCTGAAGAACCCAACGAAGGGCCACTTGGGCCATAGACTTTCCTGGAATGTTACAGGTATCGACATGCCATAATCGTCACTGATATGGTGAACATCGTTTAGATGTTGATGGTACAGTACAAAAACAGGCAGGTAAGAATACAGAACAGCACATATTGTTATATGTCTTTGAAAGATTAGGATAAGAGTTTAACTATGTAAATATTCGAGTCTGGATCAGACAATCCAGTGATCAACATTATGTGCATCGATTTACGCAATTCGGATAAGATGACATGTGTCAACCAAGACAGCGAGCCTGACCATCCGATCACGTCTGTCGCCACTTGAGACCAGTTGTTACCCGGATGTTCACGGGTCCCTGGCGAGAAGCAACATCACTACACGGGAGACCTGAGAGCTACATACAGTCAAAATAGTCAAACTTACAACTCCAGTGAAAACACAAAAGACTTGCCCATAGTGCTCTACTTTGCATACAAAAGATAAAGTTGTTTGCGAAGTTAAAAAGATTGAGAAAGTATGAAAATTAATTACAGTTTGAAGATAAAGATCTATGCTAAAATAGTATAATGGTCGCTTGTGGTCACCATGTTTCTTTGAAATGTCCTCCAGTGTGTCCAGGGTATTCCATATTTGATCATCTTGGAGAAGTGAGTCCCATGCAGGCCAGGCCTGGGCCCCAAGTCCTTTCTCCGCTGCCCAGCCAATCCTGCCCTCTTTGGGACGCGAATCACGTTTGTACTTGCCTGTCAGCAGACCCCTGAAAAGATTTCAGATTATCCCAATACCAAGTATTTCAACTGTGTCGTCACAGAGTTGCCCTGTATACACCCACATTTCTAACATAAAGACGAAATATGTGTGAGAGCTGATGAAAGGCTGATGTAGCAGTCAACATGTTTAACCTGAAAATTAGAAATGGCCCAAATGCACCACTTGCACTTTAAGATATTCAGAACTAGTGTAAAAACGATTAATAAGACATGGAGGCCTGTTTTACAGCAATTTGTTTGTTTTTAATTTGATTTCGGAACACATATGATGATCCCTCTGTTGATTGCCATTGATGTTGTATTATATAATCAAACGTTTCTTATTTTTTGAGCAAAACGTGTTTTAGACCTATCGATCCATTTCATTTGTAAACCAATATCGAGAAACAACATTTTATGTAGCCTTAAGCTGTAGGTTTTCTTCTTATACGCACTTATATATGAAGCATTTTGACGTTTATCGTTGACTTAACACGTATCTGAAGGTCGGAGATTCTCCTTGGCACTTTTATATGAACGATATCATCTACAAAATACTTTCACCTGGGGGTTCATCTTGACTCAAGAGGCAAATTTTATTGCCACATGAAATTGTTTCATTGGTAAAATTGTGAATTCTTTTTTGAATTTGAACGAGAGAAAGAGTGTGTTAGAATGGTCGACCCAACAATTTGTTGTTTGCTCTGTGCGAAATTTGCAAAGAGCAGGTTATATTCTAGAAAATGTCTGGCTGTGATCACTTTGAAACGTCAGACAGCCAGACGCTCATTATTGCCATTCAATACAGCCTTACGAAAAGCAGAAGTCCGACAGAACACCTCTGTTCATCGTTCTGGAACAAGATCGGCATGCTACACCTAGTGAAAAATGACAGATTGAGCTGTTCGTACGTTTCAGTTTTGTACCTTGAAATGTGACGTTGCTCGTCTGTTCCAAAGACACAGTATTTGGCACTTTCAGCAAAGAGATCAAGATGTCATATCTCCTAACTAATACTCCATCGAGGTACTTACGCCTTCAATGGACTCCATGGTAAGACACCCATACCGTTGGCCTTACACACTTGGAAAGCCTCGAGCTCCGAGTCCCGGCTCACGAGACTGTATTGTTGCTATAGAACAAAGAGGGACTTGTTGCAATCTAGATATCGATGTGTAGGTTTTGAAACTTTGACATTGTCTCTGTGCCATGAGGGTTACCATGCAGACCATATGTTAAAGCTAAACTTAACGAAAGCAGATCGACACAGTGCCTTGATGAAACCTGTTAAGACTGCAAATAGCTACCGTCCAGTACCCAAACGTGCCACGTTAAATAAGCAGGTATGTTTATCAGCTGTCAGATTTTTTCCAGTTTGTCACAACACGGACTGTTCGTGACTTTCAACGAAGTAGTAAACGTCACTTTGGAATTTTCAGTGAATTGAAAGGACGAAAACATGGTCAGCGGATCCTGCAACGACAGTGAAGTGTAACTCAAACAACTAAGCCATCAGTATCCCCTCTGTTATACATAGTACAGAAACATTTAAGCGTGACACGCCCCCTACCTGTAAACTGATGAAGGGATTCGTCCCCATCATCTTGGTGAGGTCGACCAGATGCTGCATCTGCCAACCCAGCATGTTGCTGGCCCCAATGTACCTGACCTTGCCACACCGGACAAGGTCATCTAGCGTCCGCACGGTCTCCTCCACCGGGGTAGCGTTGTCCCACAGGTGCATCTACAACGTCACAACTGTAATTACATAACTATGATCCACAAGGTACACTCTCATGTTTAATGTCACCACAGTACCCAGGCATTTACGTTCATGTCATGTAATGCTTACTATGCATTTCCATAAACCGTTACCTATATCATAACATAAGCAAATAGAAACATATCATATAAATTTATGAATACAAATACAGAAAAGTAGTTAAGGGTATGCTTAGGTGCTGTAAAACCTTGACACAAACTGGTTTGAACCATGATTCGAACCCACAATCATAGTATCCTGGTGTCAACAAGTAGCGTAACTCTGCAGAGCGAACTTGAGGTCGTGGGTGCGGGTAGGTTGTCTTGATTGAATGTCATTGATTGAAATCCAGCTGCTGTTATTATAAGCTGGGGATGGCATATATCTGACTCTGTCTCACCTGGTACAGATCCACATAGTCGGTCTGGAGCCTCTCCAGGCTGTTCTGAATGCTCTTCACGAGGTGGCGTCTGCTCAGCCCAACACTGTTCGGGTTGTCAGCAGACATGGGGAACCTCACTTTAGTCCCAATCACAAACTTTTCCCTGTCTTGTCTGAAACAGTGAGTGAGTGAGAGAGTGATGAAACATTCTGAGAAACAGTACGCCTAAATTGGGTGGAATTTCTGGTAGTCCTATTTTGACCTGTCGTGCGACTACCAGAGGCAGTGCAATGGTCACAGTAATAACAAGTAGGGGCGTACCCGCATCATAATGATTTGCAAAAGGAAGTACCTGCCCAAGGTCTATCACAGAAGCTCTACCAATTTAGACTACTAACTTCTTCAACCAGCTGCCCAATATCGACTCCGACTTGCCACTGGAATAGGCGTCTGCGGTGTCGATGAAGTTGCCGCCCCACTCCACGTATCTGTCCAGAATCTGGTGAGCCATGTCCTCGCTTGCCTGGCCCCACATGCCGATCTGAAGCAGAAGAGTTGTCACACAGTGGCAATTATTTAGTTTCACCCCGCTTTGAACAGAGTTTCAGCTATAGCTTGGCCTGACAGCTTTAAGCGGAAGGAACGCTCAAACTGACGCCTGTTTCTAGCTTGCACCTTTTGATAATGACGGACCACAACTGCATCGCCCATCCATATTTACTGTACACCCATAAAGATCAGGGTTAGAATTGGTCTTCAGTAATCGTATACCAATTGCCTAGATCGATGCTCATGCTGTTCATCACTCGATTGTCTGGTCGTCAAGTAGGTTTGCAAGATATACAGGAAATCCTGGACGTGCTTTTACAAACCGATCCTAACGATACTTAGGAGATAATCCTATTGTGTTTACATGTTGGAAGTGATTATAGTCGGTTGAACGCTGCTAATTGTCATTTAAAAACGCGTTCGGTTTTAAATGACATTTAGCAGCGTTCAACCAACTATAATCACTTCCAAAATGTAAACACAATAGGATTATCTCCATTCTACCATGACATATGCACCATGAATAAAACGCGTTTGAAATATGCACTCATTACCCTTGCGTAGTGTTTTGACACTACTGCGGATAGAGCCTTCTAAATGGTTTCGCCCATTCTCGGGGTGGAACAGGAGAGAAAAAACAATTTACATAGTGTCAAATGTTTTAATTATTTCCACAACGAAGTTTTCTTCAAATACATTGCAAGTTGCAACATCTGTACTGGCATTCTACTTCTTATGTTATGGACAACTTTAATGGAATGAGTTATGTAATAAGGAACACCCTCTAACTTCAAAAATAGATTCGTCTGGTTTGACCTTCGTTCTGACGTCATTGGCGCGTGCCATTTTCGAAACGTGGCTGTCCTGGATGCGTGTCAGTGCTTTGCTTAGTTCCGAAAGTAGTTATTTATGACAACCTGACTGTTGTCAATGTTGAAAAGACCAGACTTCGAGTGAATGAGTGAGTTTAGTTTTTACGCCGCTTTTAGCAATATTCCAGCAATATCACGGCGTGGGACACCAGAAAACCAGACATCGAAGACGAAGAAGCAGTGATTGTGTGATTCGACTTACATGTTGAATCTACCACGTTTTGAAGCTGATCGCCTTGCAAAATTGCCGAATACTGACGTTTTTGAGCGCACAACGAATCTCGGTTATACGATGACAAGCTCTGCTCATTCTTATGGCCGGTTATTTTGGTGATTTCTCGACCTTCGACACCGGCATGTGACAAAAGGGTAACTGTTGTCGCCCGTACACAGTGATCAGTGTAGATTTTACTGAGACCACAATCATGGGAAATCACCTTCATCATGTTTTCCAAGGTGTTGTGGCCAAGTGCTTATGAAGTGAACCACGTGGGATCAGATTCGCATGTGTTTTTACGGGGCTGCTGGAAAAAAAGCTGTGTTACTTGGATTGAGTTTTGACATGTATTTTCGAAAGGATAATACCGGACAGGAAGCAGTGCCAGTCGCATAACTTCTCGGTTTCCCTTGATCATGGTCCCCTATACCCCTACGATGATTTTTAGTGGTCTCACTGTGCGTCATTGTTATAAATTCGCATCCGACATCATCTGTATCGACAACGAAGGACATGCTCGTCATCTCACGTTGGTTCTCGCATCCGCGGCGACCGAAACATAAGGTTAGGTCAAATCAGACCTTTTTTGGAAGTTCGGAGGGTCATCAGCGGTCTGGTGATTTCGGATTTTTTGTAAATCACCCTGGGAAATGGGCTCATGATGGGTGGGGTTGTCTAAGCCTAACTGCTTAAGGCGTTTCAACATTCCCGAGAAAATATTGTTGGCAGTGTGGAATTCTTAGACTTGGATGATACTGATATTTCTTTGAAATGGGGGCTGTTGGATGTGTTTGTGAATTGAAGCCCTGATTCCGACAAAGGATGATTTCGAATAGTACTGCCCCTCAGCGTTGCGAACTTATGCGTGGAAGCGTTTGAGGAGTTCATTCAGTACGTCCGGAGGGAGCATGTTTTCATTGTGAAGTTAAACCCACTCTGGGGGAAAATTGAAAATTCTGTGCAGTAACCAGGTAAGTTACATCAGTTTATTTACTGAAAGAGTTTTCATGTTTATTGGGAGGGAAACTATTGTATATAGGTCTTCTAGATGTCAAAGTATAACGATCCAAACATCTGAACGCTTATGATTTATCGTGATATTACAGATAATATTCCTTACGTGTGAATATTTTAACGCCCCATGTTTGTACTTTGAGAGTGCTCTTACTTCTGGATTCAAGAACGATTTGTTCCAATTTGGCATCACCAACAGCCTTGAAACGTTTAGACAGCGACTCGGCATGTCCATTATCAACCTCTGACTCGAAATTAAATGAGTAATAAGTGATAAATTTACCTTCAATTATCAACTGACGTTCAAGTAAGTTTGCGTAGTTACTATTTAAAATTGAAAAGCAAACGTTTATGTTTATTGAAAGATATATTAGCGTGACATTGAGGCCTAGACTACGACGCTTAGAAACTGGACATTATGACGTTTACATACTCATACCTTCGGTGCTTAGAGTTACTTTAGGTGATTGTTCAGTCATTTCATGTTGGAACCAGGCTGGGTCAATATTTTCCTCCATATCCGGTCCAAACACATCAAAGAAATCTCCGAGGTCAAACGTAACAGTTTCAGACGACATGTTTGTTTACCTTTGTAAGGGTTAATGAGTGCAAAATATTCCTACGCGCAGTGAACCGGCTCTCAGAAGTGGTTATTGAAAAATTTTCACTTCTAATTTTTTAGTAACAGCCAATCAAAAAACGAACATACTTAAATGTCGTGGTAGAATGTCATTTTCAACGTCATCAACGAGGATGGTGGGGTAGACAAGCGGTTAAAGCGTTCGGTCGTCACGACGAAGGCCCGAGTTCGATTCCCCACATGGGTACAATGTGTGAAGCCAATTTCTGGTTTCCCCAGCCGTTATATTGCTGGAATATTGCTAAAAAACGGCGTAATACTCAACTCACTCACAACAGTTAACAACCTTGCTATCGGACCATCACACTACTTCGCATCTTCCAGGAAACACAAGGTGTGCTCTGTACGATTGTCTGTTTTGACATGTTTCCAACAGAATTTGAATTGTAATTATGAGTTACTCATGTTTCCATTATAATTTGAATTGTAATTATGAGTAACTCATAATTACAATTCAAATTCTGTTGGAAACATGTCAGTTGACATACTAATATAAGAGACTTTTCTTTATTCATTTTGTGAGTGATGGACCCTAGTGTGGTGATCTGTTCGGTTGTTGGTGATCTATGGCCCGTTTTTATTTTTGTACTGTCTATACTGATTTAATTTTATGATGGCGTACTAGTTTTAAATTTGTATCTGTGATGTTCTAGTAATTTTACTGCCCTTCGATGACAGGTTTTTATGTTCTAAATTTGTTGATTTTAACATTGATATAAATTAACTTGTTCTCGTCACGATATGGCTGAAATGTTGCCGATGTGACGCTAAATATTAACTCACTCACTCACTCACTCACTCACTGTGAGAGTTTATTTATATTATTCCTTGTGAATTCGATTTGATAAATGGCCAAAGTGTATTAGTACATTAATTCTGACAATAGTAATATAATGACACTATTTTAAGAAGGGTCACGGGCAGGGTTATATATTCACGGACTATGCGTGATACTTCACTGCCTCACCTTTACACGGTAATACAAAATAACAAACGGAGTTAATGTAGGATTCAAACATGACTTAGATGTTAACCACCTCGGTGTAACGAGTACGGGTGCAGGCAAACCTAGAAACATAATCGAGGTAAAGCGGGATTCGAACCACGGTCATAATTTCTGGTGTACCCAAGGGACATAATTCTGTACATGGAATTATGGGTCTGGGACACGAATATTTAGCCTCAAATGCTTCGATGTTTACCAAAGAATAAGGAAATCCCCTCGAAGCTGATTCGAGAAATTCGAAACAATCCTATATAACACCAGAGTAGATATGGATGCAACAATGAACTAAGTTCGAGTGAACATCCATTCATCCAACATTGACATAGCTGCCATGGGGTACAGTATCAGGTGTGCCAGAAACCTGCAATCTGCGTCATTCGTGTTAGTGCTGTTTATTTTTTCTCGAGTTTTGCTATCTATGGCACGATATGTTTTCGAATGTCACTGTGAAGTCCTTGGACTGTTTATTTTACATGCAAATTTATGTTGCACCCTTGCTCCTGTTATCTCAGACATGATAAAAAATATAGGTCAGTTGATATAATCGTGACTATTGTCTTGACTGACCTTGACCAACTAAATAATGATCAGTCACGTGGGCCCGTTGAGGGGACGACTATTCTCTTTGGAATAAACCCTGCTGTTGGATTGGGTTTTTAAAACAAAAAATAAGTAAATGTTTGCTCTATATGCTGGTTGTTCTTAAAGGAAAGTGTAGTTAAAATAGAACACATTAGTTTAAAGAAAAAATGTGTGATATGACACTGCGACTGAAATAATATTCTATTCCGTAATCACAACCAAATCTCTTGCTCCCTTCCGAGAATTGCCCACGGACAATGTACTCCCATCCAACACCAACATTCTAAACAGTAACCTTCAATTTCTAACATTTAACTGAGTCGTGCTACATCGTTTCTTATCTGCATTGGGTAGACCTCTTAGTACATCAGTGTCACGCCCTTGTCTGCATGTGGTGCATGTATACCGCCGTTGTGAAGATGTCGTGTATGTCATGCACTTGTGTCTGAGCCTTGATGGCCTTGACCTCAATCACCACCGAACGTCGCTATTTGAGCTGCCTAGCTATTTAGCTTTCTGTTATCAGGTGTGATGCAACCATATCTCCCACTACCTGTCCTCTTTAAACATCAAAATCAGGGGCGGATACAGCTTTTGAGAAAGGGGCGATGCACAGTTCAGAAAGGGGTGGGGTGCTCAGTTCATTTACACTCATTCAGTTGCAATGGTCATTTAGTAAACTTTCAGGACAAAAGCAGGGGGGTTGGGGAAGGGAGTGCGTACACCTGCACACACACTCCCCTCTCTGGATCCGTCTATGAAAACACACATATAATTACACATTATTTATAAATTAACTTAGATTTCTGTTAATCAAAATGTATCAAATTGAAAATGCACGGTATGTGAACATGGTCTGTAAATGCAGGTGCAATTATTCAATTTTAACATGTGTCATAAACTGTTGGTATACATACTTGGTTTTCCCCAAATGTCATCGTCCCAAGGCAGATATTTGACACTTTTAGTCCAGATTTGCCGAGAAAGTTGTAAACCACTTTGGATTCGTCTGGAACCACCGCCATCGTGAACTGTGCTGGAAGACAAGTCTCAGTATCTCCGTGAAGAACAGGCGCAGCTGACGCAGTGAGGTGCAAAGTGTAGTATGAAGGGAGATAACTCATGACAACGAAAAGAGATAAACGCATGGGTAAAAAAGTGGAAGGCGGAGCCAACATTTTGAAATGTTTAGTTGGGGGCGGGACTAGTAGCGTAGGCAATGTGGCATGGTGCAGGTAGTATCGTCGACTTACATTCCTAAAGTTAAGCAAATTAATATATATTATTATTATTATGCTAATATTTGTATAGAGCCAATATCCAGCTCAGCTGCTCAAAGGCACTTTGCTTTTCCCTCGATCACTGGATGTCAATCTCAAACGGCACATTTTATTATTGATATCAACTTCCTGGGGATCATACAACTCTTGCAGCCACATGGCGCACTGAGTTAATGTGGCTTTCCCATCCTTACGAGGTACCCATTTACAGCTGGGTGGACTGGGACACATAGTCACAGTACTTTGTCCAAGTTTACTGCAGGTTGCTGTGCCTGCAACTAGGTGTTTGCACGTATTCATGTAGCCACCATCTGGACATTTACCAACGGATTCGTGGGTTCTTTTAAGTGCACAGGGTTGTATACTGTACACTAGGGGTTGTGACAACACTGAAAGAGTCTGCACACAAAGTTGACTCCAAGGTTAACAAGTGGGCTCGATCCCGGTACCTCAAGCTCGCTGAATCACTAGCCTGGCGCCTTAAGACAGCTCGCCCACCACGCCCACCACGTCCCCCAAATATCTACATAATGACATTGCTGTCTGTCCAAATGAAATAGCAACAGCTTGACTGTTATCACCATGCCCAGACAAAGGTCCGGTCCGCTACTGGGGTGTGATATTGCGGATGAACTGTGGGATACTGCAGGCTGACCACACATGTGTCGCTTATTTCCAATTACTAAATTAAATTATATCATAGGGTATACAATTCGGAATCTGGTTTGCTAAATTTCTGTTTTTAATTACAGACACTCTTTCATGATATAAATATGTTCCGAAAAACATATTATTTTGCTTCAACACTTGATAATATTTCAGTTAAAATGGTGAATTTAACTTTATTTTACTTATGAAAAAAGACCACCTGACAATGTTACTCAAGAATAAATAGAATAAATATGATGGGTTTGTTAACATAAAAGTGCAGACAATTCTTTAATTAACACCTGACGTACTTCCTCATAAACATCACCATGACTTATATCACAAAGATTTTGTTCACATTCATGGGCATAACATTCCTACAAAAAACACTACAAGCCGATCTCAGACGTACTTAGAGCATACATTCACACTTCAAATATCAGTGAGACAACGCCTAATCAAATGAATATATACTCTGCCAAAAAAAAAGATATGAAACAGAGGTCCGAATGGTAGCGTGTGGTCACAAATCAGTTGAAGTTAAGCAACAATGAGCGCGGAGAGTCCTTGGATGGGTGACCGTGTTTGGCAGCTTGACTCCTCAGACTTTCTGGGACTTCAGTCATGCCCATAACGAAACACATGTGATACATGTGGTCTCACCTTAGTCAAGTGAGTTTGTTAAAAATTGCCTCTGTGCACCAAGCAGAAAATGGGACATATGACTATAACCTTCTAGAGCCTAACAGTTAGCTTGGGATATCTGGGGTAATAATGTTGTGCTGTTTGTGCCCCTTTGTGGTGTGGAGTATTGCGCGGTATACGTACCCTCATTATTATTATTATGTTTTACAGATTAAAGATAGTATGCAGCAGAGAGGGTTCGGGTGATCCTGGCACACTCAGGCTGGTAAGGCTCATCGTCAGCTCAGGGCCCTTGTCCCCTCTTACACGCAGCCCGGACAGCGAATGGGACTTCTCCCAGAAAACACTGCCCAGTCGAACCCACCAAGAACGTTCCGGAGAATATGAAGGCTCCCCAACACTGCAGCCTTCTGCATTACCCAGGGTGTCAGAAGGGCTGTACTCCCGGTGTAGAACCCAGGCACTCTCCTGATCTGCGCCAAGAGATCAGGAGGTACCAAACCTAGGGCACCGAGAACAATGGGGAGCCTGACGACAGTGTACTTGGGATGCAAGCGAGACATTTCAAAGGCGAGGTCTGCATACTTAGTATGCTTTTCCTGAATCTTGCCAATCACATTTGTGTCAAAAGGGACAGAAAATTCAATGATATTTTTAAGATTCATTGGTTTTATCAAAAAGGACAAGATCAGGTTTGTTGGCTGGAATTCTTCTGAGGCTGTATATAGGCCTATTCCAGAGAAGTTTGAAAGCATCATTTTCCATGACGCCCTGGACATGTTCAGGGTGGTACCATGGATGGACCTCGGAGTCAAAGCCACAGGCATGTCGGAGACGGTAGTAAAAGCAACGAGCCATGTCATCATGTCGTTTATGATATGCTGTTTGTGCCAAGGAAGGGCATCCACTGACAAGGTGTTGGACAGTCTCTGTGAATTCATTGCAAAGTCGACATTTCATGTTAATATTCTCTTTAAGAATCACATTTAGGCGATTGCGAGTGGGAAGTGGCTGGTCCTGAGCAGCAAAAAGGAAGCCCTCAGTTTCACATTTGAGACCAGCCGACTTCATCCAGGCGAAGGAGTCGGTGGGATTGCTATTCTGTTCCACACACTGCATGTACACACGATGCAATGGCTTCTCAGAAAGCTTCACAAAATACCGACTCTGGGCAGACTTGGTGAAGGACTTCACCTGGTTGTATCGTCGCTGTACCGTCCAGCAGTACATCGCCATCAGCAAAGTCAACCTCAAATTTCAGATTCTGTCCAACAACCTTGGCACGCTTAAAATAACTGTGGAATTCCTTGCTTTCATCATGAGTCTTCACATGCATCACCAGAGGATCATCCGATAAATAAATATGTGCAAAAGTACACAATTATTATTATTATTATTATTATGGACCCACTCATCCAGGTTTGGTGCATACCATATGAATTTGGTTGTCAGTAAATTGTCCATTGTAACAGTCGAGAAAAAGAATCATATTTGAAGAAAAACGTATAATTTCGCCAGTAAGCAGCAACGTGCACACCACACACTCAATAAATGTGCATGTACTGCACGGATCGCTGCATCCATCCGGAAGAACCACACTTGCAAAGGATGATATCGAGTATGATTGATCCTTCTGTTTTCATAAGAATAAAAAGTGTACTGTGCGCACTTTCTCCCACAGCTGTGAATTGAGGCATGGACAAAATACACGCCTACGTTGTGTCTTGATGTTTTTGTCAACATCCCATAGACACTACCGTGAGAAAGTAATACCGACAATACCTTGTCAGCATATCCAAGTGAGTGAGTGAATATTCAGTGAGTGATTTAGTGAGTGATTTAGTGAGTGAGTGAGTGTAGTTTTACCCCGCTTTTAGCAATATTCCAGCAATATCACAGCGGGGACACAAGAAATGGGCTCCACACATTGTACCCATTTTTGTGCATGCTCGAATCTGTGGATTGCTTACATCACGTATTTGATGTAATAAGTTGCAAGTGGCAGAGTTGTTAGTAGCAGAAGCGTGTTTTTTACATAATAATGCAAGGCTGACTGTGAGAATACTATTTGAAATATTTAGAAATGGGAGAACCCCAACCCCTAAACTGTAGAAAATGAACAGAACTTTCAAAGTAACAGTTTGCTGCTGACCGATCGTGTGAACTTGCTTGTGACCTCCTCCTGTGTTGTGCCTCATTTGCGCTGTCCATTCGGACAGTTGATCATTACCACACCTTGATATATCTGTGACATTCTTTCCACGTAATGATATATCAGTCACGGCAGTCAAAGCTTAACACTGACTCTGTTCGTTGTTACAAATTATTTACAAAATTTTCAGACAGAACCTTCGATTTTATCTGTCTATGCAGTCAGCTTAACATTTGCCTACTTGTCAGATTGAAAGTATGTATGTTCGGATCTCGTAAGCCTTATTTGCCTCACTTCCGGCGAAGAGTAATAACTGTACTTGGGTCGGTTGGCAGCCTTGGCAACAAAACCATGCATGTGATGCTTAAAACCCATAACTATGATATTGTCGTTCAAACAAATAAAGACGGTAATAGAAGTATGTTTAATATTTGTGCATTTCCATGCCATGCTGTTAAATCAAACATTGTTGACATTGTAGCAAACACAGTGCAGAAAATGACGATCCTAGTTGCAAAGCACTACTTCTTTTCATAATTATTAGTTATACCTTAGAAACTGAAACTATCAATATTGCATGGACTCTTTCTAGAGTCCAATGGTCAGATTTTCATCTGCCAGACCTTACTTAAGTCTCTACCCGTGAATATCCGGGTTAGATTTGATCTTCAGTAACCCATGCTTGTCGTAAGAGGTGACTAACGGGATCGGGTGGTCAGACTCTGAACTGTCGGATCTGAACTGTCTCGCCGTGATAGTGCTAGAATAGTTGCTAAAAGCGACATAAAACCAAACTTACTCACTCACTCATTTTACAGCAGTAGGTACAGTCGTGGAGAAAGAAAAATGGTAATTCAACTGGCGTGATTAACTATATGGAAGGCGAACAACTTCCGGTGGTGATGTGCAATTAATTAACAGTTTGCCTTGCTCACTACCATCAGACCATCTACAAGCCTGAAACCAAGCATGGGTGTGCAAAGTGAGGGACAAACACTTCAACAACCAAAAACAAAACACACACACAAAACATTCATCATGACGAGATGGCACTTCTCAGGTGCTTCAATATTCGTGGAATGTCTGCAAGGAACATAGCCACGTAACACAAAGACAGAAAAGCACAGCCTGTTGCTCCAAACGTTTTTGACGAGGTCCTGTCATCAGGGGCACTTATCTTCCTCCTCCTCGCTTTAGACGTTTGGTTTGGGAGGATCCGGAGGTGTGCTTGCAGATGCTTTACGATTATCTGGAGTTCCTCAAGGGTCATATTTTGATGTATAGCGTTGGATTCCCATTGACATGAACAATTGTGTCCCAGGTCCACATTACCACCGACCGTTGACTCGTCAGCTCCTGAAGCGGGTAGGGTTGTATCCATGGTGATCGTTGTTTCTGCTTTGGTACTTAAAGAAGTGGTGGCAGTAGTAGTTGGGATAACTGTGGTAGTTGTTGGCGGAATTGTCGATGTTGTGTTTCCAGTGGTAGTGGTTGCATTGGTGGAAGTACTCGCAGAAATTGTGATCACTGCTGTGGTAGAAGAATCTGTTGTGGGTGTTGACAATGTGCTTGGCTGACAAATTGTCTCTTCTTTTGAATGGATCCAATTCTTTAAAGAAATAAAACTCAAGTTTCCTCAATACTGTTTGTCATAAGTACTTTATTCATCGTTGGATCCACAAGGAACTGAAATGTGGTATTCGAGATTTCAATGGGATAGCACTAATTTATTAAAGACAAAATCAAAGTTTACTCAATATCATTTGGCATAAGTACTTAATTAATTGTGGGAACTGAATTTTTTTATTCCATACTTCCCAGATTGCAAAGGTAAAATAACGACTTTTAGATAAGAAAGTGTTTTGTGGCAATATGGGTGTACCTACTCAAGAAAGGGTGATATTAAGTGATTTCGGTTTCCCTTACCTCATTAATCAGCGTGAGATCAAGTCCAACTCCTGAGCAGAAGGCTTCTCTTCTATCCTTCTGGTGTATATATACCCCAAACAAAGCACTAGCACTTTGTATGACGTAGGAGGCTTTGGGAAGAAGGATATATCCAGATGTCAGGTTCGTGTCCATAACGTCAACCCATGTCTGTATATCGAGAGGTTGTGAGTTTAGCATTAAACTTGATTTGAAGAACGAGTCAATGACGACAATTGCATAAGCATATGTATTTGTGTCAGGAAACCGGAAGCTGTACTGATATTGCCACTGGATGTTGGGATGAACAATCATCATACAGGGATCAAAGGTTCTTGTAGCTGTCACAAACTTTACCACCAATATTGCTTCATTTGACGTGATCTCAACAGGATCTGTGGCAGAGATCCTTGTTTCCAACCAGTCCCCTTCTTTTTCCAGGTGGTAAATTGAACCCCCTACATGTACCGTTGTGTTTGAGGTGCTTGCAAGGATGCGATACAGGTCCTCTGATGTGTTAGTCTTTTCTGGGGAGGGAACGGACACAAAGTGTTTGCCCCATGTAGTAACGGGGGGCATTTGTTGAACAAGGTGATCTCTTTTCGATTTTGTGTCCAAAGAAGATTTTCGTGCACCCGCTATCACAGCAGTTGGATTGTTTGAGGAGACATACGTTCCTGTCAGGTCTCTGTCATTTTGGAACTGGATAACTTCATGCTTTTGTAGGGTTACATATATTATATCTGGATTTAGAATGGTGATACCATTATACTGTAATGTAGTCAGACCAGGTGGGAACTCTATGGTTACTGAAGTATCGGCGGAAGAAGACGTCACTGAGAACTGTGTCTTATCATTTGTACTCTGATAGGTCACTACATAGAAACTGAACCCGAACTGGTCAACGGGTAGTGCAAGATATATATCCATGGACTTGAATCCAAAATCGACAGCAAGAACATTCACATCGTTATCGGATATGATGCGTACTACTTTATCTGTTATTCCACTCCCTGACAACTGGATGCCTTCTTCTAGGCAAATGTAATCGCCCTCAGCACTGGTGATGTTCACGGTATGTGTGAAGTTGATGCTCAGAGACAGACTGGTGACCTGCACAGACGCAGCATTCAGAAGGGTCGTAATAATGATACATTGTTGTTCCGGCTTGTTAGCCTCTAATTTGTTCTCTGGAAAGGTAACCAGGAACTCCTTTCCACTGCTGTTCTGGCCATTTGCTATGTAAAATAAGGGTATGTTATGTTGAAACAAGTTTCAGTAATAGAAAACGGTTAAAATATTGACAGTCATTCATGTATTTAATCAAATATGAAACATCAAAAGGCTTTTAAAAAACATAAATGGACACAACGTTTTGTCTATTTCATTTGCCTGAATCGGTCTCAAAAATAATTTAAAGCCAATACAAGGTCATGAGTGAGTGAGTGAGTTAAGATTTACAGACACATCAGCAATATTGCAGCCAAGTCGTGACTGAAACAAGTTTAGAATTCACAATAAATATATATAAATTATAAACACCTGTCATCGAAGGACAGTAAAACCAACTAGAATATCACAGTATCAAGACATAGAACTAGCATCTCCCTCTAAAATTGCATTTCAAATAAGGACAATGCAATATAAAAATTGGCTATAGGTCGCCAACAAGTAGAGGGTAATGTCCGACTAACTCTCCATTCCTTTCAGTTAAATTACATTTGTGGCATCATTCCATTGTCTGCTCGCTCCATTATCTTTCAGGAATGGAGCGATGTGTACCAGTTTCAAATTTAAGACTTCATTTTGTCATTTTGACATTTAATTTTGATAACAGAAATATTACCAATACTTTGAATGTAATTTAAGTAGAGTAATATCCTCGTAACTCTCCATTCCTTAAAAATAATGGGCCTCAGCTCCATTATTTTTAAGTAGATCACCATACAAGACAAGAGACCATGGGGACTTACAGTGCCTTTGCTACCTGCATGGACCCTAGTTGGATTTACACCATCCCTTCAGCCACTTCCGATTGTAGGAAATATTTACCTTAATTTTAAAAGAACAAAAAAAATACGTTTTAAAAATCTGGTAAGTTTAAATTTAGCTTTGAAAGTTTTGGGGCTTACGTATCCTTTCAGGAGAACAATACTTTTACGATACTTTAACCCCCATCGAGGGTACAGCCACTAACAATCGCAAGTTGCTAACTTATACTACCATGTTTAAAATACCATTTATCTATTTACAATACATATACTCAGCGGCACCGTGAAGAGCCACCTCCTCGTGGTGGGTGCTGGGTAACGCTAAGCGCTCTTCAACCCCCAGATGTGGACCCGGGGGCATATTTGGTCCACCAACCTGTTTGCCGTGGGTTGCGCCCCTGTGTCGGTGGAGGACCGGAGTCTGGTGGTTGAGGGCACTGGTTCCAGGAACAGCGTTCCTTTGCCCAACACACCACTTCGCCCCTTACTTCACCTAGACGGGTGGTAGAACTGCCGCGGTTCTATCAATCGGCTGGTCACGCCAAGCCCTGTGCATGGTGAACATTTATGGACATATTTGGAATTTTGACATGTATCCTGTGGTCTTGACCATTAAGTTTTGACGTTAACACAAATTATTGATTTGTTAATTTGCCTAGAGTCCTATATGCCAGAAGGCGGTGGCTCATGGGCCAATCTGGTAGGATCTATCTTTTCAAGATATTTTCCTGCTTGAGTATACCCTCCTGGTATCCCTGGTGTCGTTTGTTGGAGATCCACAGACATAAGACACCGTCCTTGTTGACACTCCATGGTGGGTGGGGAGCTAGGAGAATGAATCATATATATTTCTATCATGGCACCCCCACTCAAAAAACGCTCACACGAACCTGATGATTCGTTGTCTTCAGAAGATGAAGATAAAGTAATCTTTAACAATCCTGATAATTGGCCTCGTTTTCTAGTTATGTGTGCTCCTGACGGTGGCTCTTTAAAATTGAATCCCTTTGCTGTATCAAAGGGCATTGAAGGTTTGGCCGGAGACGTGAAGGAAATCAAAAAGTTGAGATCTGGTTCCCTGCTAATCGAGTGCAGGAAACAAATACAGTCAAATATTCTGCTCAAAACAAAGTCTTTAGCAAATGTTCCTGTGGAGGTGTCCCCTCACAGGACGCTAAATAGCAGCAAGGGCATCGTCCGGGATACTGGACGTTGCCTTTCAGACATGAGCGAAATTGATATCATGACTGAACTGCACTCCCAAGGAGTAAGTCAGATCAAACGCTTTACAGTTAAAAAGAATAACGAAGTTATCAAAACTAACACGTATCTATTCACATTTTGTCTACCAGTACACCCACAATCTCTGAAAGCAGGGTATTGCAACTTGAGGGTGGAGACTTTTATCCCCAATCCCTTAAGGTGTTACACTTGTCAGAAGTATGGTCACGGAGCCAAGTCTTGAAACAATCCAGCTGCATGTCATCGATGTGCTGGAACATGCGAAGACAGTAACCTTTGTGACAAAACACCTGTTTGTGTCAACTGCGCGGGTTGCCATCCTTCTTCATCCAAGGAATGTCCTTCCTGGAAGTTGCAATCAAGAATTTTCGCGAGTAAAGCATGAGCGAAACGTGTCATTCTTTGAAGCAAAACAGATTGTTCTTACACAAGAACAATCAGGTCCGGGTTATGCTGCCACTGTTTCTGCTTCTGTTCAGGCTTCTACATCAAAACATGTCTTCATGTACTTCAGTTGGTTGCCAAACCGACTATACGTGGGTTAGGATTTCTGCCCCACCTTGATAACTCCTGAAAATTCAAGCGAGACCTCTAAAGGTGACTTCCAGTGCACAAATTATGCCTTCACAAACCATCATTCAGTCCAAGGCATCTTCTGAGGAAGACAAATCCTCATCTCAGAACCAACCATCTAAATCATCTGACACAAGTGCGAAAGTGACTATGAAAAATCCATCCAAACCTAACTATGAAAACAAACAGAATCAAAGCAACAGACCCCCAAAGGGGTCGAATAACCAGGTACAAATTTATAATAAGTTTGGATCCCTTGAGGACATGGATGTGTCCGACCCTAGCCATGGTAGGACTCATAGCCTGTCACCCTCAAGGAAGGTTAGGGGTAGATCTCCTGTTCATCCGCCGAAGAAGTAATGTCTTCACCTATAATTCAATGGAATTGTAGAGGACTCCGGAATAATTTAAACGATTTACAGCTATTAAACCAAGATTTTACACCTTCAGCGTTCTGCATCCAAGAAACTTATCTGAAACAGACAGATAACTTTGACTTCCATCAGTTCAATACATATCACTGTTTTTCTCCTCCGTGTGATAGAGCTTCTGGTGGATCATCCATCCTGGTGAGGAACACTGTCATCCATAGCTCAGTTCCACTTAAAACAAATCTTCAAGTCGTTGCAGTTCGACTTACATTACAGGTTGCTTTTACTTTATGCTCTTTGTAAAACCATTCCGCCTTCATCGGCTGTTCAACTAACCGATCTGCAAGCTCTCTATGATCAACTACCTTAACCCTGTATAATCATAGGTGAATTAAATGGCCACAACCCGCTCTTGGGTGGCACTAATACAAACACCAAAGGTAAATTACTCGAGGAATTTATTTCCAATAATGATTTATGCATTTATAATGACGGCTCAAATACGTATTTACGTCCTGGCACAGGAACATATTTAGCTCTTGATTTGTATATTACTGACTCCATCCTATTGAGTGAATTCGAATGGTCAGTCCACCGCGACCTCTGTGGAAGTGACCATTTCCCAACAATACTGAAACCTGTGAATCCATCTGATGTTCCTCCATCATCAAGATGGAATTTTAAAAAGGCTAACTGGCCTCTGTATAAAATTCTCTGTGCTGACAAACTAAAACCTGAGCTTTTTTAATGATATTCCTGATGCCATACAATGTTTTTCAGATGAACTAAATAACATAGCTGACGAGTGTATCCCAAAGTCCTCTGCAATTCCACACGTACAAAAAACCATGGTTTAATGACGAATGCAAACAGGCAAGGAAGGCACGGAAGAAAGCCGAGCATTATTTCCGTCGCCATCCTATGGTCCACAATTTAGACAAATTTAGATTTTAAACGCTAAAGCACGACGTACTTTCAAGCAAACTAAAAGCCACTTTTGGCGAAACTATGTCTCAAAAATCAATTCGCACACACCGATATCAAAGGTGTGGAATATGATCCAGAAAATCAAGGGTAAGGGCTCTAAATCTAGCATTCACCATCTCAAAGATGGGAATCTGCTATTGACTGATAAATCCGATATTGCAAATAAACTTGGTGAGACGTTGGCCAAACATTTCTCCTCATCTAACTATGTACCTGAATTCCAAGCATATCAAAAACAGCAAGAAAAGAAAGCTATTAATTTCAATTCAGATAAGATTACAACAAAACCTTTTCAATCCACGAGCTTCATACTGCTCTTGACCAGGCTCATGATACTGCTTCCGGAGCTGATAACATACATTATCAACTCCTGACTCACTTACCAGAATCATGTTTAGAGACGCTCTTATCTTTTTGATGATATTTGGACATCTGGAAAATTTCCTTCGTCGTGGCGCGATGCTATAATTGTGCCCATCCCTAAACCTGGACGTGATCATACTGATCGTTCCAATTATAGGCCATTTACACTAACTAGCTGCGTTTGCAAGACCATGGAACACATGATAAATAATCGACTTGTTTGGTACTTGGAAACAAATAACCTTATAACAGGTATACAATGTGGTTTCCGTAAAAAACAGAAGTACTGTCGATCACCTAGTGCGTTTGGAGTCATTTGTTAAAAATGCTTTAATTAATACAAAACACGCTGTGTCTATCTTTTTTTATCTTGGAAAAGCATATGACACTACGTGGAAATATGGCATTTTAAAAGATTTACATGGCTTCGGATTGCAAGGCCGTTTGCCTCAATTTATAGCTAACTTTTTAAATTACAGACAATTTCAAGTCCGCGTGGGATCTACCCTGTCTGATCATTACAATCAGGATCAGGGTGTCCCACAAGGCAGTATTTTGTCTGTCACACTGTTTAGCATCAAGATCAATAGTTTATCAAGGGTTTTAAATGATTCAATTGATGTATCAATATTTGTGGATGATTTCAATATTTCTTGTCGTGGTAAAAATATGCATACTATTGAACGGCAACTGCAGTTATGTTTAAACAAAATAAATAAATGGTGTCTTGAAAACGGCTTTAAATTTTCTAAATCAAAAACTAATTGTATACATTTTTGTAGAAAATATAAGCCTCATAAGGACCCAGAACTATCTTTAAATGGCACTCCTATCAAAGTTGTAAAGGAGGCCAAATTCTTTGGCCTAATTTTCGATTCCCATTTAACTTTCCTGCCACATATTAAATCCTTTAAAGCTAAATGCCTGAAGGCACTCGATTTGTTAAAGGTTGTCTCCAATTCAAAGTGGGGAGGGGATCATACTACCCTCCTTCACTTATACAGATCATTGGTGCGATCTAAACTTGATTATGGCTCGATCGTATATGGCGGAGCCTGCAAAAGCAACCTTAAACTACTTGATTCTGTTCACCACCAAGGTCTAAGACTTTGTCTTGGATCATTTAGAACGTCTCCAGTTGATAGTCTCCATGTCGAGGCAGATGAGCCTTCTCTTTCCCAACGCCGTATTAAATTATCTTTACAATATCTTACCAAACCAGTCTAACCCTGCATTTAACTGTGTCTTCAATCCTCTTTATGAGGATTTGTATAACAAAAAGTCTTTTCTTGTTTTGCCTCTTGGGCACAGAATTAAACCATTCATTGCTGCTGCCGGAATTGAGCTTGAGAATATATCTCCTTCTCGTCTTCTTTCTTCTCCTCCTTGGCAATTGGTGAGGCCAGATGTTGACTTAACATTAACCACATTTAAAAAATCCGAAACTAATGATTTACAGTATAAACAAGAATTTAGTCAATTAAGAAATAAATATAATACATATAAATCCTTATTTAGAGATGGATCCAAGGATGGTGGCGCGGTGGCTTGTGCCACTGTAATTGGATCCAGAACAATATCTTTTAGTATCTTTGTTCTTTTAACTACATTTTCCTACAATCGCCAGCGGCTGAAGGGATGGTGTAAATCAAGCTAGGGTCCATGCAGGTAGCAAAAGTAATGTAAGTCCCCATGGTTCCTAGTATGGTGATCTACCTTCAGTTGTTGGCGATCTATAGCCCATTTTTACATTGTATTGTCCAGAAATAATTTTCTACTTTTAAAGATATATGCTAGCTAGTTTTAATTCAATCTGTGATAATCTAGTGGTTTTACTGTCCTTCGTTGGCAGGGTTTTATATATTATATGTATGTATGTTCGGAATTAAGCCAAAATAATACCATAGGGTACCCTGTAATAAAACCATCGTTATAAAACTACTGTTTAGGATCTTAATTTATCATTAAGATGGGAAAGCGCTGACTTCGGAAGGCAGAAAAATGTGTCTTTCTATAATCTTCATACAAATTACTCATCTTCAGTGTTATTACAGTCCCACACTACACGTACGTTTCCGTCTTTTGTGAAACCATATCTGAGACTAAAGGCAAAATAGTGGTGAAAGCTACATGAACAAATCACTGGAAATCATTGATGACACAACATTAAAACATTGTGAAATTACTTGTTTTTTAGTTATATACAATCCGCAAAGTGACGATGCATGATGCCAAGAGAAAAATAACACTATCATGAAATCACTAGTGTTAAGTTTTACTGTTATGCCGTGAAGCTGAGATATCTTACCGTTATTTCCTGCAACACAGAGACACATCAGTAACAGGAACATGTTGACAGTCTCGCTGCTTCACACCAACTAAGTCAGCGCTCACTTGTCTTGTTCATCTTGTCAATACCATCAGCAGACTGACACATTGTACCATTGCGCTCTATACATAAAGTAGGTTTGTTTGTGTGTTCGTTAATGGAAGTAAAATCAATTCCGTCAATTTTCAGCTGAAACACAACGTCTGGCAGAAAAAGTTTCAATTATCTTCTTTTTTTTTTGAATAGATGGAGAAAATATTTGAGAATTGTGTAATTTCAAATGTTTTGCACATGTTTTGCATACATAAGAGGTGAACTTATCTACTGACGGAGTATTACAAAAATACTTAAGTGGATATTTTTCTAAGGGTTGTTTGACTTGGGCATGGTGAAAGGGAGTGATATTCGTCGCCCATTGCTTCATTTTATTATTTCACATTGTCTGCCACATCTAACAAGGCTACTCCACCTTCTAGTTTCTATGGGTAATCTACGATTAGTTGTTCTAGAACGGGTATACCATGTTATATAATTTGTAGGTAGTTCCAGATGATAAGAATCAAAATGAGGTGTGTCTTTTTAAAGGTTGTAATATTTACTTTTTGAAGAAGTATTTACTGTTCAATTTCAAGATTGATAAAACTGATCAATAAGAACCCTTTTAACAATGTATCGATTTACGCCATTAACGTATTCTCTAGACATTGTCGAAAGCTTTCTCAAAATCGATCAATGTATTATAAAACCTTTTCGATCCACATTTTAACACGTGAACTATGGCGTAAAGAGCAAAGATATTGTCAGTAGTGTTCCTAGTATGGTGATCTACCTTCAGTTGTTGGCGATCTGTAGCCCATTCTTACATTGTATTGTCCAAAAATAGTTTTGTACTTTTAGAGATATATGCTAGCTAGTTTTAACTCAATCTTTGATAATCTAGTGGTTTTACTGTCATTTGCTGACAGGGTTTTACATATTATATGTATGTATTATGAATTTAGAACTAGTTTTAGTCACGATATGGCTGAAATATTGCCGATGTGACTTTAAATCTTAACTCACTCACTCACTATTGTCGGTAGTTCTATAGTCCTTTCTCGACCCGTGAAGATCCGGGGTAGAATATGTCTTCAGCAACCCATGTGCTTGCCATAAAAGGCGACTATGCTTGTCGTAAGAGGCGACTAACGGGATCGGGTGGTCAGTTTCGCTGACTTGGTTGACACATGTCATCGGTTCCCAATTGCGCAGATCGATGCTCATGCTGTTGATCACTGGATTGTCTGGTCCAGACTCGATTATTTACAGGCCGCCGCCATATAGCGGGGATATTGCGGAGTGCGGCGTAAAACTATACTCACTCACTATAGTCCTTTCTCAAGCCAGCCTGGGCTTCTGATAAAATATTATATCTTTCACAAACTTCAGTCTCCTACTCAGAAATGATGTAAATAATTTTCCAACACAAATTAGTAAACTTACCCACCGATACTGTTCTGGTTTTAGTCGAACTGGGAGTATCATTCCTTTCGTCCAGCTTTCGGGGAAAATGTCTGTTTCCAAAATATGTTTAAAAAGGAGTTCATAAATATCTGTCATTGAATCCTTGGAATGCTTTATGTATGCATTTAATTAAAACTCTGTCATCTCCACTGGCCTTGTTATTTTTTAACCTACGTGTTATTTTAAATATTTCCTCTTTTTAAAATCGCCTGTTCAAATCATTACCCATATCCGTTCATTGCATTGCGATCCGGATATCATCGTTGACGTCATTGTCAGTGGTAGTGCTGTAATAGGGACTCGTATAAATCTGCCATACCTGGGAGTTTATCGTTTGTTTTTATTCATCGTGTTTCCGTAGTATCTTTCAAAATGAACGACCATTATCTATAACAGATCAAATTTATTTTGCAGCCAAACTTAGTGTTTTTCAATGCTTTCTATTAGTGTTCTTATAACTGCGACTACAAGTAAGATGATGTCTTTTTTTAATTTACTTCTGATTTCTAAACTGAGTTGGTGTTTTCAAGTACTTTCCATGTGTAATGTTGCATTGCTTTCCAAACCCGAGGCGATTTGCACACATTTTGCCATGGATGAATGGGTTCTTAGGGCAAAGGCCGAAATATGTTTAGAGCTGAATGAATAAACAGTTTGAATATATACTCAGTGTCAAAGTCAAGTCAAAGATGTTTATTGTACAAAAGGCCTCCGGCCCATATACATTGGAGTTATACATATACATTATACATATGGTGCAAGAAGTAGTAATTAGCGATCCAAACAACAAATCAAGATGGACCTACAAATCTTTTTATCAGATTGTTACGTTTAATAAGAGCATAATTGATATAGTACGACAGCTTTATTATTACATGCTAGTCAGTTGATGAAAGAAGTAGTTTAAATGCTAATGTGGGTGGCTTAGATAGATAATATTCAGCTATATATTTCGTACGCAAATCTTTATACAAAGGACATACAAGTAAAAATGGATTTCATTTTCCACATCTATATTACACAGTTTAACGTTTGTGCGTATGCGGAGGTTGCGTGCGGATGTGGGAAGCGCAAAACACCGCATATTTGGCACTTATTTGGGCTCGTTTTGGGGTATTTCGACCCGCCAGAGGGTGGCTTATTGTTAGAGCTAGGGTTACGTGGGTGAGCTAGGGTTAGGTTTATTTCGACCCTTTGGGTTGATTTGGATGCGGTTTTCGTTTGGGCGTGTTGGGAGGTTGTGTGCGGAGGTGGTAAGCGCAAAAAACACATATTTGGCACTTATTTGGGTTCGTTTTGGGCCTATTTTGAGTGCAGCGACGGGCATCGGATGTTAGCGTTGTTTTGGCCAAGTCCACGGCGCTAAGTATGACGGGGGAAGGAAGGCGTGTGTGGAGGGTGCGTTTGGAGATTGTGCGTGTGCGGAGGTTGCGTGCGGATGTGGGGAGCGCAAAAACCCGCATGCTTGGCAATATTTGGGCTCGTTTTGGGGTATTTCGACCCGCCAGGGGTGGCTTAGGGTTAGAGTCCACGGCGCTTAGTATGACGGTGGAGGGAAGGCGTGTGTGGAGGGGTGCGTTTGGCGTTTGTGCGTGTGCGGAGGTTGCGTGCAGATATGGGAAGCGCAAAAACCCGCATGCTTGGCTCTTAATTTGGCCCGTTTGGGATCTAGGGTTAGAATTTTTTGCCTAAGTCCACGGCGCTTGGTATGACGGCGGCAGAAGGGAGTCTCGGGAGGGGTGCGGTTTGAGTTTGGGCATGTGCGGATATGCTAGGCGGATGGTGGAAGCGCAAAAAAAACGCGTGCTTGGCACCTATTTAGGCCCGTTTTAGCCTATCCCTAGCCTATACAAGTTGAGGTAACGGTGAGTGTTAGGGTTACATCTTGGGTTAGGTCATTTCGGACCCTTTTGGTCGATTTGGGTGCGGTTTTTACCTTTGGGCATGTGCGGGGGTGCGGGCGGATGTTGGGGCGGATGTGGGAAGCGCAAAAAACCGCGTGCTTGTGTAGGAGTATGTAATTGTGTATATATAAGAAAGTGTATTTTAATTTGTATTTTATTCACTAATTCTAGCCCTAGCTTAACCACTCAATCTCACCTGCTTCACTTTCACAATAGTACGGTCATCCTTGCGCGTACGTTGTCTATTGTCTCTATTATCTTGCCCTAGCCCCAGGCCCCTTATTTTCAATAGCAGGGTATTTTGTGGGTGAGCTATCATTTTCACTTCAGTCTGTCTGGTCACTGGTCATAGCTCACAACAGCTTATAACAGGTTAGTTTATATTTGGATTGTATATTTTATGTCTTCATGTTTAGTGTGTATGTATTATTTCTTAGCTTCCTTTAAAGCATGTAACATGTTATGTGTGGTGAATATAAACCAATTTAACTATTTGTAATATGTAGCATAACTAGGTGTTAGCAATACTTTACATATGTAAGTATTTATTGCTGGTTATCCGAAATTACATTTCCCACGAGGATGTTACCTAACTTATAAATTATTGTGTAGGTATACATAATGTGTACATCTATTTCTATAAACGAATGCACCTAAATTTGTATGTATGAATGAATGAATGTATGTGTGATGAGATGAGTTGTTGGAACATATATGTTATGTACAGTAGAGTGATAATATACAGATGTAGTACGTTACATAGTATTGATTATGGATGTTTATGTTCAGGTGTGGCAAACATATTTCCTGATGTTTGTGACGTCAAAGGGGCACAGTGCCATACACTCGGTGAGGGTTCTTTCTTATTATATTGTAAATAATTATGTTATGTACTTGTATGATGCTACACGTGTATGTTGAAATATAAACATTATATACATATATACACACATGTCTGCTCTGTGACCTGGTTGATCAGTAATGATTGTATTGCTTATATATGATCGTAGTACTTATTGCTAATCAGTAATGATTGTATTGCTTATATATGATCGTAGTACTTATTGCTAAGCCTCACATGTATTGGCCCATGAAGTATTGTAGCGTATTTTGATGCAATGTATTTTTTTTTTACATGGCCTTCTTCAGTTATTACTCCCATTAAACTGACATCTACAGAAACTATTTGCCTTTGTGGTGTATACTAAACCACTCCGAAAACCAAATGTAACCAGAGTGGTTTGGTATATACCACAAAGGCAAATAGTTTCTGTATATGTCAGTTTAATGGCAATAATAACTGAAGAAGGCCATGTAAAAAATAAATACATTGCATCAAAATACGCTACAATACTTCATGAGCCAATACATGTGAAATGACGTCTCTGTCATTCTGTGTTCTGGCGAGTGAGAATGTTTAGAAAAGCTTTCGTGATGTCCGGTGCAGACTCTTCTAATGTTCCAGCGTTGGTTAATGCTCTAGGTACCGAACCCTAGCCATCCAATCTGGTTCTGCTGTGATATGGCTAAGTGCATACTGTCCTGAACGCACCCAACTAGGGGGCTGCCTAGCACGTGTTGACCTTCGTGGAACAACATCGAATCCATTAGTATCTGGAGCAGAGTCATCTGCGGTGTCCATTTCTTCAACTGCTTCAGGTGAAGGCACGCGGTCCAGAACATCATTATTTGCTCCTGCTT